TTTTATGAGGCACCATCACTCTTTGGCAGAGAAGGCTAAATAACTTGTAACATTACAAATCCCAGGATTCCCCAGGATGGGGCTACAACACTCACAAGGATTTTGCTGCCAAAGCCACCGGGCACAGCCTGGGTCCCAGCATGCTTTGGCAGCCTTATTTTGAAACTGGGAGCTAACACGCTCAATTGGTTATTAGATTGGATATTACTTAAATATACGAAAATATTGAATATTGAAGGCTTTAATACTTGCTTTGGGTGGCATGGATATTTGTGGTACGGGAATTCAACAGTACATAAAGAATTTAGCCACCATGCTGTAAGAAGGTCACTTTTGAATGTATGGAATGGAATCAAAAAAGGACTATACAGGAAAATTCCATTATGGTTATCGCCTCATGAGGCTTTTTTTGGTAAATGGACAGCACTAGAAACATGGTTGAGGTACACTGACATATTGAAAAAGTCATAAAGAGATATATATGAATTTAAAACAATAGAAGAATTAGAGCAATTAGTTCCCAAAATACATTGGCTGTTATACATTCAATTAAGAGAAAGGTTTAAGATGGACTTGAAATTAGAAGAATTTGAGGACAAATCTTTAGAAATCGATAAGATACTGAAGAAACCAGAAAAAAGAGAACAAGAAGACTCTATAGAATGTTAATGGATATAAAACAGGAAGGAGAGATAATTATGGACAACATGATTAAATGGGCAACCATTATAGGGAAAACAATTGATCTGGAGAGTTGGGAATACGTCAGAAAGAAGACAGAGAAATTCACCAAGTCTCAATATTTGAAAGAAAACTACTGGAAGATGGAACAAAGATGGCACTTAACCCCCGTAAAAATTGCAAGAATTTATAATATTAAATCGAACAGCTGTTGGAAATGGAAACAAAATGTTGGAACGTGGTTTCATGTTTGGTGGAGATGTTCCAAAATTAAAAGCCTATTGGAAAAAAATACATGACAATACAAGAAATTTTAAGATAAGGTATGAATTAAGACCCGGAATTTACTTATTGAGTATGTTAAATAAGTTAGACCCAACAATAGAAAGAAAGTACTGGAGTATTCTCCTATATATGATTACAGCAGCAAGGCTACTTATAGCCCCAAAGTGGAAAAATCAAGATTTACTGACTCCGGACAATTGGCTGATGAAGTTAATAGAGATGAAAGACATGGACAAATTAACTGCTTTATTAAATCAAAAAGATTTAGAAAAGGTAGACACGGAATAGTCACCAATCGATGAGTATATGAAGACAAGATGGTGTTGAGATAGCAATTTTTTTAACTTTTTATTTAAGAATAAGAGTATAATTTAAAGTGTTTTGACCAAATTAGGTAACTGTATTTAATTGCATTGAATTGCACTATACAGAATAGCCTAAAAGAAAGTGGAATTGATTATTGTCTGACAGCAAGAGAGACAAATAACTTTGAGAAACTTAGAAAGACTTGGAATTGCAAACACAAATAATAAGTATCAATTGTCGACAAACTTTTGGAAGTATCAGTTATAGACCAAATGAGATGACAATCAAGAATTTTTCTTGTTTATTTTATTGTAAGATGTTTATTTGTATGTATATATAAATAAAATTATTAAAAAAAAAAAAGAAACTGGGAGCTTTCCAGCTTCAAAATATGGCAGCCGAAGTGCGCTGGGAACCCAGGCTGCAGTTGGGCAGGACTCACCCGGCGGCTTCGGCAACAAAATCCTTGTTGCCTCCCAAAGTAGACTTCAGCTCGGAAGAGGTAAGCTGGGTTATTAGAACGGTGGGATAATCTCCTTACACTGCACAGTTATAGCACTTTGATTCCACTTTAACTACCATGGCAACGTCCTAAAGAATCCTGGAAATTGCAATTTAGGGAGGGGAGTTTAGAATTCTTAGCAAGAAAGTTCCTCTAGTGCCCCAGCATTCCATAGCAATGGCAGTCAAAGTGGAATCATAGTGCAATAATTTGTGTGAAAGGGTCCCTGACTCTTCTACTCTACTGGTTGGAGGACAGAGCTTTATGGGTCACACCACAGACCCCAAAAATAACCTACCTCCCACCAGGAGGACGTCACCAATCACAAGTGTAACCTAATTGATTATATTGACTGTATTGGAATTTTAATATGCTGTTAGCTGCCTCGATTGTTCTCAGAGGGGTGGGGTATAAATAATAATAATAATAATAATAATAATAATAATAATAATAATAATAATAATAATAATAATAATAATAATAATAATAAATTATTAATAATTAATAATAATAATTCAGTGGCCAGTTTGATCAGCCCAGATGCCATCTTGTCCTTCATCTTAGGCAACTAAATATCTGGGCCCCACTTGTGTGTGTTTATGAATACAAATCTTGAGATTGTATTTATGAAATAGGATCATGGTATGTGTGAGGGAGGGGGCATGTTTGTTTGTTTAGTTTTATTTAAGGGATTTACATCCTGCCTTTCTCCCAAAATGGGATTCAAGGAGGCTGTTGCAAGTTGCATGTTGCAAGTTTTATATTTACTCAAGCCTTTGGTTTTTAAGTTACTGTGGCAGAAGGATCTTTTCAGTGGGGTGCATTATGCTTTTTATCTTTTTGCAGAATTTTAATGTGTTTTCCACTATTGTAGATTAGATATTTTTAAACAGAATTCTTTACTTGCTTTTTAAACGTTTGTATCAAATAGGTTTTCAGTGCCCTTTGTTTTTAACTGGATGCGAGCTGCCTTGGGCTCCATGCTGGGGAGAAAAGGGGGGATGCAAATAAAATAAATTGCAAATAAATAAATAAATAAATAAAAGCTCCTTCCCCACCCTGCCCTAAGATGCTTGCCCAGGTATGTGATTCTGACAAGATAAGTTGCAAGACCCATGGACTAAAAGTTTCTGTGTAATGTTTATCTTCCTTCTGGCTGGATAATAGATCATCTTCCCTTGATTATCTACATCTGAAAATCAATCTCTACCTGACTCCCAAGCCAATCTGTCATTCCTGGCAGAAGTGGTGTCAGTCCAGTCACTATGCGTCCTTCACGAGCATCAATTTATCTCAAAGAACAAATTTGTTCTTTTTATTTGCATTAGAATGTTCAATCTGTGCCTATTTCCACTCCACTCCTCCTTTGCCACTGTCCTCCCCATCATGCAAAACTAAGGACGTTATCACACGGGGGCCAGTTTCATGGTTAAAGAGATAATAAAGTGGAAATAAAGCATCCCGAAAATAAAGCGAAAATAGCGCTAAATTGTGCAAAAGCATTTCTCACGTAATTAGAATAAAAACGAAAAAAAGCAAAAAAAGACGTTTTTAACTTTCATACTCAAGTGAAAAAAACCGTAAATGTACTAGAAATGGGCGTGTTTTGTTTTGCTTTCGGGTGACCAGACTCCTCCTTTTCCAGGGCAGGTCCTGCATTTCATTCAACCTTCTCTCCTCTCCAGGAGGAAATGTCAAACTGTCCTCCATTTGGAGCAGGAGTAAGAAGCATGATTTTCTATTTCTATGTGTGTGTGTGTGTTTTTAAAAAGTTTTTCTTGTGTCCTGTCCTCCTGGACAGTCTTCCTTTGAGGTTAGGACCTCTGGTCCCCCGATGCGGACGGAGAAGAGGGCAGCATCCCTCCTCCTTCCCTTCTCCTGTGGGCAAACCTTTTGCTGAGGGAATAAGCCTGCCGCCTCTTCAGCTGTGAGGATGTCTGTGGGGTTGTCCTTTTTGCCTTGGAGAGCAGCCACTTGCTAGCCTAGGTCCTCTTGCTCTGGGATGGGCTGAGAAGCAAGGCACCCCAAATTGGGGTCTGACTCACTGGAGGGGTCCCCCTTTCTCCCACTTTGTGTTGTGCCTTCAAGTTGCTTCTGACTTAGGGCGACCCTAAAGCGGTGAACCTATCCTGAGGTTTTCTTGGCAGGTTGCTTCAGAAGGGGTTTGCCATCGCCATCCCCTGAGGCTGAGAGAGTGTGACCTGCCCAAGGTCACCCAGGGATGACTGAGCAGGGATTCTGTCCCACTTCCCCCCCCCC